AAACCCTAAAACCCTAATAAACCCTAAAAACCCTAAACCCTAAAACCCTAAATAAACCCTAATTACCCGCACCCTAATTCCGCCGCATATGCGATCCCCCAACCCCAGTGGGTTAGGTACAAGGTTTGGGGTTTGGCTATTAGGGTTTTTTAGGGTTTACTTATATGAGTTTAAGGTTCTAGGGCCTTTTACTAGGGTTAAACAGAAGTTTATTAGGGTGTTATCGTCAGGGTTTCTCATTATAAAACAGGATTCTACCATTCCCAGTTCTCAGTGTTGCCATCCCAGTCCGGCCCTGGGAGAGATGGGGAGGGGCGCTTGGCGAGACCCCATGCACACCACCGTAGAGGGCTCCACTTGTCCTTAATCCGAGTGTTCGCCATGAAGAACCCGACGAAGTAGCTAGAGGCACGCAGAAAGAAATCAATAACAGTAGAACGATGCTTCATGGTCCAGACTTACAGAGTTGCAGACTCATCCTCCCAGACAAGATGTGACGCCCGACCGTGAAGAGGCATAACACCCCATTTACAAAGCCGACTGAAAGCTCAAGTCAGTTTCAGGGTCGATCAAGGCAGGTAACTGGATAATAAAAGACCAACGCGTGGCTACTAGTGATACCTGTACTTGTGCTGGAACTGCTGGCGAATGAGCTCCCGCTTGTCGGGCCCCAAGCCCCAGAAGACATTCTCCCCTAGGGTGACGCAGGTTCCCAGCGGATAACCCGGCACCACCTCCCAGACAACATACACCAAAAACCCATCCGGGATGAAGTCGGACTCTTTCTGACGGTTCGACATGGAGTCGAGCAGGCGCGGTGTGAATTTGGATCCCTTGCGGGTCAGCATGCGCAAAGCTTCCAACTCGGGAGGATCCCAGGCGCGAGCTTGCTGCCTACGGAAAGCAGGCGACTCGGCCTCGATCCCGGCCGTCGGGATCTGTTTGTAGATTCTTAGGTGGGCTTTCGGACTGCTACCAGGTCCCGTACAGGCAACGCGGATCGTGGCGTAGGATGCGGGAGGGTTGTTGGATTTGCACTCGCTGATGTGATACTGGAAAACGCGCTCGGCGCATGCCTCAGCTACAATCCAGGTTTCCTTATCGAGCCTGATGGTCGCCCCGGGACCGATCTCGTTTTGTGCGAACCAACGAGAGACCATGGTTGTTGGTAGGGGGAGGGTTTCGTTTGCGGAATCCTGGATTAGAATGAAAGAGCCTTAGGGAGGTAAAACATACCTGCAAGACGTGGGTGAATGTTGTGTGGGCTGACCAGACATGATGACGGAACAAGATTGTCACGGGCAGAATTATTCCGTCATACCAACGACACATTGCAAGCATGTGACATTGGTGAAAATGTAACTTTGCAAAATGTTGCATTCGCATACAGATAGTACAGCAGTTAATAGGTGAGGTTGCAAAATAAGTACTCCCGGTGCGGTACCGAATATGGTGCTTATTTATATATAGGGAGTTTTCCGTCATGTTCTTGCTTTTACCCCGAGAGAGATTGATTATAAGTGAGCTATCCACTTGGCATACTATAACTTTATTTCAATCTCCTAGACACTCAATGCTGCATCTTCACAATTAGGGCACACCTTCTCATGGGCAATCCATATTCCGACCCCGGTAACTAGCAACTGGACCAATTTCTACTATTTCCTACCGAGTAGGGGTTCAAACCCTTGTGATGATCCCAAGATTACTGTCTAGCATACAAAGAATATAATGGGTCGGACCTGTGACTTATTTAAGAATAGTACTGATATAGTGACAGTAGACCTTACTCAGAAAGCTCTTTTATTATAATTATTAGGTATAATCGTATTCGATAGTTATCTAGTATTGATTGCTACCGCCGTTTAACATACATATATGTCAACGATCTCCAGTTCATAATAGAAATTGGGATTTCCTTGCTTGTTTTGACTGTTTATACTATGGTAAAGAGCCCACCGCGGTGTACTGATTTACGATATTGGGTCCATCCAGTTCTCTTTTTGTCAGACCATCTCCCTTGAACCAAAAATATCATCTTCAACATCCCTGTCGACCTTGTTCACTAATTCCCGCCCATCTGGCAGTTCCTACGTAATACGATCCTCTGTCAGGGCGCGTGTCTATTTATCATATAAATATATTTCTACAGTATTAACTCATTAATTATGATGTCCCCGGCCCCAGCATTCCGCAAGATCCTAATCATATTATCCCGCGCATTATGGGGTTCCTCAAGGAAGGCCTGTGGGTGCTTACGATTATACCAGTCATGAGCTCATGAAGAGGCGTGTTTTTCTTCTTATTGACCGCGTTCACGTTTGAGACGGCCGTTCAACACAGCAAAATAAGGTCGTATTGGTGCTAACTACTCTAGAACTTTAAGCATAAGGAGGAAAAAAGGAAAATAAGAAATATTATAAACACTCACTTAAAGAAAACAATAGTAAAGTAAATAAAATAAATATAATCATATAATCCTGAATAAAACTTTAAATAAGACTATTATTATATTACCCCTCTATTTAAACCTAATTACCCTCAGTTAGAAAAATATTATTATTATTATAATCTATAATAAATTCATCATTCTCCACAGCTATAATCTATATAGAAAGTTATTTAAATAGTCCGGGATAATCTAAATAATAAATATAAAAATCATATAAATAAAAAAATATACTTTTAAAATTATCAGCGGAATATCACTCGTGATTATTTTTATTAGAATCTATCTATTTAATACAGTACTGCAGAGTTCCTATTTATAAATAATTTTTTAAGATTTATTCTATTTCCTACTTAATATAGTTATTAATCTTAATTAAAAAAATTTAATTTAAGATCTATCTAGACAGCAGCTGTAAAATACCATAAAGATAGAATTTATTTAAATAAAAAATAAAATAGATCTTTATACTATTAGGTAATTAAACTTAAAATATATAATTAATTTTTTTAATAATAATTATTAAATTATACTAATTTTTTAATAACTTCCAGGATAGTTACTTCCAGTGCTAGTTTCTAATATCTATATAAATCTTATCTCTAATATTAAAATTTACAGATCAACGCTATCAGTTAGCTATATAGATCTAAATTTATTAAATAGTTTATATATTTTCTTTTACTAGTTTCTATATTTATTCTATACAGTGGACTAAGACTTGGGCTTATTACTAGTTAATAATATTTATAATAGAAATCTAGAGAGATATTTAATTAAAGAAAATACAGGACTTATATTCTTACTTAATTATAAAAAATAATAATTCTATAGATTCCTAAAGTAGAGTTATAAAGATAAAGTTAATTAGTAATAAAAATTCTAACTAATTATATTAAAAATAATTCACGAAAGAAATAAACCTTTATACTATATATTAGTTTATAATTTTAATTTATTTATTAATTTAAAAATAATATATTATTAAAAGTTTAAATTTTATCTATAATATATAACATAATTTATTCTAGAATTCTAATATAAATTATTCTTTTTAATCTGATATAATTATATTTAGAGATCTTGATTAAGAATACATGTACTCTAGAAAAAACTAAACCATATTTTATATAAATATAATCTTTATATATAATATTAAGATAATTTATTTACTTAGCTAGTCTACTATAATAAATATAGTATTAAAGCTATAATAGTTCTTTAAAAATATTTAAAAATTTATTAATAAATACTATCCCAGACAGTCTAGGATTAGTAGAGATTGTAAGAATTCTAGAAAAAAATCCTATCTTATATTTTTTTATTTATAAATTAAATAATTATCTAGATAATAATATATATTTTAATTCTAGATATTCTAGTAATATTAGTATTTTATAAGATCTAATATCTTTATTCAGCCTAGGTGAATAAATAATAGTTAATAATAGATTTTATCTAGTAATTAAGTATATAAATCTCTATTATCTAGAATTATTAAAAAATTATTAAAAAATATAAATTTATTTTTTAAAATATATTTTTCTTTATTATAATAAGCTTATTTTTAATAGAGCTCTAGGAAGACATAATTCTAGTTAATTATTAAAAAATAATTTATAATTTATAAATATTTCTCCACGGAAGTGAAGACTATCAATAATTTAAAAACTAATAAATAAAAATATATTCTATTCTTTAAGTATTTTAGAAATAATAGGATTTACTTATAATATTATATCAGAACCTACTTATTATTATTCTTATAAATTAATATATTTACTAAGATATTATACTTCCTAAAGTAAAATTAGATTAAGAAATAATATTAGAAGAAGAACTCAACCTACCATATTTAATAAATATTTAATCTCTTAATGGTTATAAAATACTCTAAAACTCAGTAATTAATTAGAATACTAAAATAATCTAAATACTAGAATCTTTTTAATTCTAGTCTTTATTTTTCTAAAGCATGAATAATCACTAGTAACTCTTTATTATAAATATTATAGTTATATTCTATAGAAGATATAGTCTTGGAATAATAAATTACTAAATATTAAATTTTATTTATTAATTATAAAAATACTTTTATAATAACTCTATTAATAGTGTCTATTTTAATATAAATAAAAAGTATAAGATTATAATAAGCTAGAATAAAAACTAAAATTAATATTTTTTTAAGTATTTTAAAAACTTTAGTACAGGTATAATCCTAGTTAAAAATAATATTTTTTTAGATTAGTTATGTTAGAGATTATATTATTCTATTATAAGCTCTAATAAATCTTCAGTAGAAATTATAAAAATCTAAAAATAATTAAATTTTCTATATAGTTATCAGAATCACTTATTTAGTAATAATAGTAATCTTTATTAAATCTATCTAAATATTATTAGTAATAATAATAAATCCTAAAAATTTAATTTTTATAACATGGAACTTGTACTTATAAATAATAATTTATAAATCTATAATTTATAATTTCTTAAATATTAAATATATATATAACTCATACTCAGCCGTATTATTACTATAAATTAATATATTATTAATATAAGCTATAATAAACTTATCTAAGTACTTTATCAAGACTTTATTAATAAGCTATTAGAAAACAGTAGGTCTATTAATAAATCTAAATAAAAGAACTTAATATTTAAATAGGCTATATTATATTTTAAAAATTATAAAATTTTTTAAAATAAGATTTATTCTAATCCAGTGGAAGCCCTAACGTATATTAAATTTAATAAAAGTTTTTATATTATATAGGTAGTCTATTATCTTATTAATAAAGAATAGAAGGTATAAGTCCTTCTTAATTAAAGTATTTAATTTTTAATAATTTATATAAAAGCAGAAGCCTCCTCCAGACTTTTAAACTATTAAAATAAAAAATATAAAAAATACAGAATTTAGTATAATAAATTCTTTATTTAGATTTTTTATAATATAATTATAGAAAGCCTGCAGCTCTTCTACTATTATCTTATAAAAAAAATAATATTTAAAAGATTCTTATTCTCTAGCTAAATCTTATAGTTATAATACTAGGATAAAAATAATATATTAAATTTTTTCTTAGAGAAAATATTTACTAGATTATAATATTACTTAAAAAGAATTTTTTTAATCTTATTTTTTTATTTATATATAAAATCTCTAGTTTCTTTACAAAAATCTTCTTAATAGTATTAAGTAAGGTAATAAAAGTCTCTATCTCTAAATTTTTTAAATATTATTAGAAGCTAGCCACTTTAATAAAAATTATTTTTTTATAAAAGAATCTAATTAGGATAGGCTTTAGTTCAAGTTTTAAGATTCTAAAAAAAAATAGTACTAATAATTTTTTTTAATTAGATTATATTCTATCTTTATTAAAGTCTTGTATAAGCTACTTCGGTTAATACAAAAAAAAATTAATAATAATTATAAAAGTTTTAACTATTTATCTTTTAATTATATCTTATAGTCTTTTTAGACTATATCTTATTAATACTTATAATTTACCGGGGACCGCTCTAGAATAGTTTAAAAAATATTTATAAAAAATCTAGCTTTTATTTTATTCTCTAATATCAGCTAGCTTAGCTAGATTAGTTAATAATTCTAATAATCTAATAAGATATTATATTTAATAAACTATATCTTTTTAAGAATAGTATCATGCTTTTCCAGGTCTAGTATAAAAAAAAATATTCAGAAATTAATAGCTATTAATTATAAGATTTAATTAGATAATATATATTAAATCAATAGTCTATTTTCTATTAAAACTTATA